ATTTAACTTTTGGAGACTTGTTAGTTCCTGAAAATGATTTAACTTACATTTCTGAGGAATGCTTCCCATTTAGCCCTGGAAGCAGGGTTCAAGCCCTAGACTGTTCTTGCTAGCTGGATGCCCTAGCGAATGACACAGTAAATCCTCTGTGCTTCCATTCTCTATCTATGAGTGGGAATAGTGATAGTGCCTATCTAAGTGGAGGTTGTAGGCTTAGAGAGGTAACACTTTTAGACACTGGGTCTTTCAAGAGCCAGGTTACACTTTGGAAGCATCATTGTCACCATTGCCACTTGACTTACATACTGGTGTCTCCTATGAACACATTGACCCTCACTGATTTGGGCATAGAAGATGTTGTACTTACTCAGGACCTTCATGTAAATAAAAAATAATAGGAGACACAACACAGAATACAAGGACAAAAAGAAGAGTTTCTCACATTCTCAAATACAAGAACATCAACAGTGATGGTATTTTGTAAAGTCAATGAATGGTCCAAAGACCTGCATTAATATTCTCCAAAGAAATCACACACACACACACACACACACACACACACACACACACACACACACGTAGCCAATAAGCACATGGTCAATACATCATTAGAGAAATCACAGTTACAAACATAAGGAAGTATCACTTCACATTTGATAGGTTGACAATCATTAAGAAAATAATAATACATGCAAGGGGAAGGTACAGCTCAGAAGCACAGCATTTACCTAATAAGCTTGGGCCCCTGGGATGGCTCCATACTGAAATGATGACAATTGATGATGATGACGATGATGATAAGTATAGGAAAGGATAAACAGCAATTAGAACTTTTATCCAATGCTGGTGGGAGTATTTCCTAGTATGGAACACTATATGGTGGTTTCTGAAAAAAAAATCTGCATAGAAATATCATATTTTCCAATAATCTCATTCTGGGGCTGTGAAAACATAGACTCAAAGAAGTGTGTATCCATCCCTGTTCAGAGGAGTATTCTGTACAATGGCCAAGAGTATCTAGCGATCACCTATTAAAGAACAAGATGTGGCATTTACATAGACTGAAAAGGAAGCTCTCAGATATACCACCATATGGATGAAGTTAAGAGATGTGCTAAAAAGGAGGGTCCAGCCACAAAAGGACGAATTCTGTGTGATTCCGCTTACACTAGGGATCTACAATAGTCAAACACATCAATGGTGATTGGCAGGAACTGGGAAGAGGGAACAGTGGGAAGTCAGTATTCAGTGGATGTCAACTTTCCATGTGAGAAGATTTAAAAAAAAAATCTGGAAGCATATGTTTGGTGATGGTTGCATCTCGGTGTGAATAATATGTTTGTTCTCTGAGACAGGGTCTCATTCTGTAGCTTTGGTTGGCCTGGAACTTGCTATGTAGACCAGGCTGGCTTTGAACTTAGAAATTAGGCTGCCTCCTGAATGCTGGGATGAAGGCTTGCTTAGCACTTGTCTAATATGAATGTTATGAATGCCAGTGAACTGTATACCTCTAGGCAGTCACATGAATACTTTTTAAGTTTCTTATTATATTTATTTGCTTATTTTTAGTGTATTTGTGCAAATGCATATTTGTATACAGGTGTGCCATAGAGTATTGTGTGGAAGTCAGAGGATAACTTACAGGAGTAGGTTATCTCCTACCACTTGGGCCCCAAAATGGAGCTCAGACCATAGGCATGACAACAAATGTGTTTACCTAAGCCACCTTGCCAGCCCATTTTGTGTTTGCATATTTAGGCACGCCCACAAAGACAATGATTAGAGCTGAGATAGTTGGAAGTAAGGATAAGCTAGGACTTTTCACACTTTCTTGGTTGGAAGCCTGATATTGCCTTCACTCACACATTCATTCAAGAAATTTATTCCTTGAATACTGACGAAGGCCATTGTATGTTACATTCTCAGTATGCAAATTGTAACAATGGACCCCACATCTCCCTTTGAAAATTTCCTATTAGAAGAGAATGTTTAATTAGAAGAGGATGCCAGTCTGTAACCAAATACAATGAATGAGTTCACATGTTGGCAAGTTCAAAGATGAAAGTAAGGGGAACATGGGAGTTATTTCCAAAGTAATGCCCTCCTCCTCCAACAAAGGAAGTGTAGGGCTTTTTATTTCAGGAGCCATTATGTAGGAAATATGAAAGTGTTTAGCAGTGGGCACATTCCTGAGCATACTCAGTTAGGAATACCTATGTGAACATGTTCCATTTAAGTTCACTACTTAAGAAATGATAATAGACATACTCAGGGGCATGCCTGATTCAAGGCCAAAGAACACCACATGATTGAAAGGCTAAAATAGACAAGAATGCCTGTGTATAGACAGCTTACCATATAAAGTTTAGGCAAAAATAAAAGTAAGTACGCTTGGAAGGTGTGCTAACGTAGGAGTTGGTTCTTAAAGGTCCCTGCCTCACTTACTGGGTAATAAATCTACCAAGGAACCTGCAGTACAAATGATTTGTAATGATTACAGGAACGAAGTGGAGCAGATTTCACTACTCTCATGATCAACATCACCTTGTTCTAGCCTGAGGCTGGCCCCATACACGAATAAGTAACCCTAAGTAAAATGCATGGCTTGACAATAGCAATGGAAAGTACATTTGGCAATGTCTTTGATGGTCCTGGACATTTGCATTCCATTTTTCAGAGTTCAAAAGGTCAGAAAAACAAAAATTCCAATGAGATTTTGGGTATGTCTGTCCAGATTCCCTGTCTTGCTCTCTCTCCTCTCCTCCCTCTTCCTATCTGTTCCTAACCTATCATGCCACTAACCTGCACAGCCTTTGCTCTGGCCCCTCCAGGGTAATGGTTAGTTCTTGTACCATCTCTTCTGTGGGCATTCTTGAGTGGACATTTTGATGACTGGATGTATAAGAGGGTATGAGTAGAGGCTGTTGATGTGAAGTTTTTGCTGAGCTAAATCTTTAGCCCTGGCATGCACATTCCTAAATAATCAAGTTGTGAGCTCAGTGCCAGGAATTTGTTCTGTCCTACCAGAGTGCTCAGTCTTTTTTACAAACAAACAAACAAACAAAAACAAAAAGGAGCCATCTTCTTGTTAGAGATGTTCAGCCATCTCTACCAGCATTAGTTTTAATTAATGTCAATATGATGTTTATATGTGAAGCATCATTCCAAGGGGTTTATACACATTCAATTCCCATGAAAAAGAAAACTCTGTAAAACCGTCTTATGGACCCCACTTTATAGGCAAGGAAACTAATGCACAAAACTGGTTAATTTATGAAGACCATACAGCTGGTGTTCAGGCAAGCCTGGTGGTCTGACTCAGGCCGCCCACTTTGCTTGGGGAACACAAAGGAACTTCAGAGACAACCATGAAATCTTAAATGGGGATTAACTGAAGGGATTTTGGCTAGTCTAAACAGCAGTGTTCATAAATATTATTTTGTGGGAGGAGGGGAGGGAGACTGGGTGGCTAATTTGTTTTGTAGTTGAAAGATTCCAGTAAATTTTATTATACCACAAGAAATTAGACTCGGTTCTTTCAGTTTCTAGAACAGGCAATTTGTTCTGGTCACTGCTCATAACCTTGTTTAGGTTAAACAGACCCAACATCTTCAGACATTAATTTTGTGTTAGTAGTTGTGTTCCTACACACGAAAGGGATGGTTTATGGCTATAGAAAACCACCCCATTCAATGTTAAATATCTGAGTTAGACAAGAGGTTTTTTTTTGTTTTTTTGTTTTTTTTTATGTTTCTAAACACACAAAAAACTTGGGAACATTTTTTATTGCCTGCTGTGATTCTCATGCTGAAAAAATGTTTGATTGACTGTGGTCAGATCTCAGTTTGAATTCTGCACCAACACTTGATGGGCCCCAGTAAACCGTGGTAACACTAGCAATCTCACAAGCAAGTGTGGGGATTGGTGAAATACATATATTAATAGGCAAAATGCACACCCGGGGCACATGTCCCGTACCAGCTCTCCTAATTGCCGAGCATTTGTCAAGGGCTGTTGATCTGACAGGGATTTCCCAGGCATGACTAAATCAGAGGACATAAGGTCCTCTGATTCTTTGTTCTGAGACTTGGGATGTTTCAATAACTTGTTGACATTGCCCTAAGGCTATTGCACTCTAATAAAATTCCAAGTCGTTTCCACATCTTTCTTTGGTTATGGAGCTTATTTTCCCAGCTTATGTTTTTATCTGGAATCCACTTACTCTGGAGAAAAAAAGGGAGTGCTCATCGGAATTTCAATTTTCTTCCTTTTTCTTCTGGGGTAAAAAGGAAAACGAGGAGTCCATCAAATTAGGAAATTAGGAGCAAAAGAATCACTTGTCTTTTTCTTGTTGGGTCATTTGCCTCTCTCTCTCTCTCTCTCTCTCTCTCTCTCTCTCTCTCTATCTCTCTCTCTCTCTCTCTCTCTCTCTCTCTCCCTCCCTCCCTCCCTCCTTCCTTCCCTCCCTCTCTCTCCTCTTAAGAAATTATTTTCTAGAGCTTCTTTCCGTCAAGAAAGCACTTGTTCCGTCCCCTAGCAGTTCCAAGCATGTACTAGCCGGTTCTGCTGACCCACGAAGTAAAGGCGAGGAAGCCTGCCCCCACGTAGTGGACTAGACCCCGGGGAGTGCAGATGCTTCTGGATGCCAGTTTGTCACTCTCTGGCGCAGACCGAGGTTTGTTCCTTGGCCGGGAGGGAATCGAGGCGCCACGGAGTCCTGGACGGGGGTCATCGGTCCCTCTGCCCATCGGCGGAGCCGGGAGAGGACACGACCGGAGCAGGTGGAGCGCCCCGGGTGTCCCGGGAGGAGCTCCGGTGGCCGAGGCGACGCCTTCTCGGCAGCGCTCGGCAGCGCTCGGCTGGGCTTCGGAGCTCTCCACGTCCCCCACGCCCCCGCGACCTCCACTCGGACCTCTCACGGAGACTCCGCCCCAGGGTCCGCCCCAGCTTCTGACTGGCCGCGGTGCGCGTCAGTCTGCGCTCCAGGGCGGGAACACCGACGCTGTCACGGCGGTTGAGCTCCGGATCGCGGCTGCGGGGAAGCGAAGTGGGGCGCCGGGCTGTAGCCGGGCGGAGCGTGCGCGCGGGTGGAGCCGCGCGGCCCGCATGGAGGCGCCGAGGAGCGCGCCGCGGGAGCGGGAGCGGGAGCGCGCTCGGACCACCGCAGGTGGGCTCCCGGGTGGGTGGGCACGGTGTCGGGAGGGTGTCGCGGCGGCGGGGAAAGGCCAGGGATACCCGGGGTGCTGGTGGAGCGGGGGCGGCTGCAATTCGCGCGTGGCGACCTGGGTGGCATCTGAGTCTCCGCGAACCCGAGAGAGGCGGGGTCCGTCGGCGAGCACCCGGGCGCGTGGACCCGCCGCCCACTGGTGTCTTCGGGGAAAACTGATTTTGTTGTAAACTAAGATACCGGGGGTTCGCGCCTTGCAGAGGATGTGGCCCACAGTTTACAGCATCCAGAATTGTAAACCGCAGAGAACACTCTTGACTTAGAGAACGCACCAAGGGGACAGAATGGCAGCAGGTCGCTGTAGCTGCTCTGGCCCTTACACCACGGGCTGGCTGTCCTGTCTTGGCTCCACAAACCTTAGAGGTGAAGGGTGTTTTTCCTTCCTATCCATCAGCTGTGTTGTTGATTGAGTTCTCATTGTCAGGGGAAATGAGAACTTCTAGGTCTTGATGGGCCACGTGCCCGATCCTGTGTATCTCTCTCTCTACCACACCAGGAATGTGAGCCCAGTGAAGCCTAGCAGCATGTGTTCTCACTTTGGGAGCACTTGTGGGGTTGTTGGACACCAGCAGTGCATCTTAATTGCTGGTCTAGGTCCCAGCAGGAGTTTCTAAGTGACACAGCAATGTGTTGAGTGTAGTAGAGACAACACTGTTCTAGGAGTCGAAACACTAGACGTCAGACCACCCTAGAGTATCTAGGTGGGAGTTAACAGCTATTCAGAACAATCACTCATTCGTGAAATAAGTGTGCTCTACAAGTTAATGCCTATGGCCTCTCCTGGCCTAGAAGTCTGTGGTTGACATACCTCTTCCCTCAAAAGTTTGGAGAATGAACTCATATTTTTAACCTTTATGCACCCCGGGTTATTATAAAATTAGCCAAATATTTCCTGTGGGTGTATCCAGTTAAACATTTTTATTTTATTCCTTTCTTCCCTTCTCCCTGCCTTAGTTTGTCAGAGAAAGGAAAGTTGGAAACAGAGGTAAGGACACAGCTGGAAAGGGCTGGTGAGGCTGCATAACGCCTGCTTTGGTGTAACATAACCAAGAATTTTTCTCTCTCTGCACGGAGTTTAAAGTGTGTCTGTGCTGTGAGCCCAGAGAGTCCTTTCATTTCTTCCGGTCTGTGGGGTCTGCAGTTTGTTTGCAGAAGGTGAGACTCAAGGATCAGATTATGGGAAATGTTCTCCTTCAAAATATAACTGCCAAGGACTTGGGAGCCTAAGATGCTCGTTATTGCTAGGTCTATTTTGTAGGGGTTGAGGGGAGACCCAGTGGTTTTAAAGTCATTTACTCAAGCTGAGATGGAGACAGCCTGCTATTTGCTAAGAGAGAAACATAGATTCACCATTAAGATAATTAGTAACAGCTGGGCTGTGGTGGAACATGCCTTGAGCTTGAAGTCAGCCTGATGTACAGAATTCCAGGACAGCCAAGGCTATGCAGAGAAACCATGTCCTTGAAAACCAAAAAAAAAAAAAGTAACCCTTGAAAGATACCAAAGAGACACCAGAGAACTGTTAGAGACTTAAAAAGGGGTTTGGGGTAACCTTTTAAAACTATTGTTAAAGTGTTTTAGTACTGGAAGTCACAGGACACACATCTCTGTATAATATTACTAGAAAGATACCCTTAGAATCTCCAACAAGGAAGAGGCATCCTGCTCCAAAGCCTAGAGAAGTCACCATCACCTGTCAGAAGGATATGATGGCACTGTACACTAAGTTCATCTTTCGGCATCTTTGGCAAACCTCTGTGTGTTGAGGATGACATGTGTTTTTCCCTACATCTCTTGCTTCATGGTCCTTAACTGTTGGAGGGTTTGAGGCACTGCTGTGGTATCACTCACTGCTGCCCCTAAGAGTCCTGGCAAAGGACACATACTCAGCTGTGTTCTGAAGAGCTACTCAGCTCCTGGGTGGGCCCAAGGGTGGGCTTGAGAGACAGAATGCCCAGTGTATAATGGGGAAATCCCATGAGCCAGGTCTCATGTTCTAGCCACATTCAAAGCAGCATTGCTTTTATTATTTGTATTATGTGGCTATTGTGGATAAGGTTTTTGTCTGGGGAAAGTATTTTAAAGTTAAACCAAAATTTGAAAAGTAATGACTAGTACTTTCTTTTTTCTTTTTCTTTTTTTGTACTCCTTGTGTGTTAGAGCCACTTACTTTGTATAGAGTTGTCATGGCTGTTTGTGGCTCATGGTAAAACCACTAATACTCTGTGCTGCTACTACCACTATCATCCTTCCTTTTATTGTTTAGTTACTGATTGTTTAACTCTATGTTAAGAAACCAGTGGAGATCCCCCACCTCATATAGATTATTTGGATAACTAAAAGGTATATTCCAAATATTCTGGGTTCCCTTATGCCCAAGCCCTTCACCAGGCACTGACCTTGTTGGTGGAGGCAGCCTGCTTCAGGGGTGATCACAGGTAGTCACAGGGCAGGTAGGTGAGTTCAGATAGTGAGCTTGTCCGTGTTCACAAAGAGAGGCCAACTGGGAGAGTTATCAACCAAGTGAGAAGTGATGCCCATGGTGTACATGCTCCTTACGTCCATGGGATCTACTGAGGATGGGTGCTTATTCTGGAACCAGTGGCTGCAAAGCCACTGGCCTCAAGGAGCTGCTTGGTGAGTGGGGTGGTCTGTCCATTGATAACAGGCCTGAGACAGATATGTGGGGGTGTCCCAAGTCCTGGTTATAATGGCAAGGAAGTATTTTCCTTCTTTGAAAAAAATAGTTTAAGGACTTAAAGGAAAAAGAAACCCTTCTGTATCACACACACACAAACACACACACACACACACGCGCGCGTGCGCGCGCACTGGAATGTTTTAAAAACTAAGAATCCACAGTTGTCATGTTTTGCTCTTTGTCCCACTCCCACACTTCTCTTACATACTGAGATGATGAGCCAATGACATGTATCCTATTTTAAGCCTGTGTTTTATCTAGGTAGAGATCCTTGACTGATGTAGGTACTGGTGGGAAAATGTCTTTTTACCTGTCTTGGATGGCAAAACAGAGTTCTGTTCACCAGGGAGACCTCTGGTTCTCAAGTGGGGTGAACACAGTGGTGTTGGGCGCTTGTGTTGTCTACATGCTAAGCAGAGAGACAGCAGCCATAGAGGCAATAGACACATGAGCAATTCTTCCAGCCATTGTTCTGTGACATTTGGAACCATTGTAGAATATGTAGAGAGCTTCCAGTTCCAAGTAGCTCCATGAGGCAAACACTGGCCAAGGTCTCTACTTATAACAGATTCTTAACCATCATCTACCTAGTCCTGTTCTGAAACAGTCTTGGTGTCTGTCTAACCAAGCCCCGAAGTCCCCAAGCCCTCTTTGTCACACTGAGCCTATTCTCAGGGAAAAGGGCAAGTGCCATTTTTATACCACTGTTTTGGGTGAGGGGACTTACAGGCAGGGTGTCTAAGCTTCCCATGGCTATATGGTTCTTTCTTTATGGCTACTAAAAGCCACCAACTTTTGGGGGTTGGTAGACTGGTGTATTCTGCTGGAGGTTCTATCTCTCCTGTCCACATGACTCATCTAATGAATGTACAGTTACTTAGAAAATTTGTTTTCAAAAGCTGAGGTTGTGCCCAGCATGGTACCCTACCACGTCTTTAATCCCAGCACTTGGAGTCAAAGGCAAGTGGGTCTTCATGAGATCAAGCCCATCCTGGTCTACATAGCAAGTTCCAGGCTAGCCAGGGTTCCATGGTAAGACCCTGTCTCAAAAAGAATTGAACTTGTGTGCCCATTTGTTTGGTTGCAGTTAATTTCGTGGAACACTGATGTTTCTTTATAACAAGTTAGCAGGAATGTTTTTGTGTGTGTTCTTGTTTTCCCAGTACCCTTTTGTTCTAGACACAGTATAGAAAGGCAACAACAAACTTTCCTGTTTAATTGTAGGCAAAGCAAACAGGTGGCATTGTGTTTAAATTAAAAAGATGGTAAAAAGTTTATATTTATCTCCAAGAGTTGAAAAACACCATCTGTCGTTACTGTTGCCAGGATTCCTAGGAAATAAAGAGTTCAGGAAGTGCAGAACATAAAATATTATGGCTGGTATAGTTCTGAATTATGAATTTCATAGCAAATCTCTCGTTGCTATATTAGCCACGTGACTACAGCATTTTTTTTTTCTAGAAAGCCCTCCCCAGCTGACACAGAAGAGGAATATTGTTGAAAGTTGAGGGCTGGGGGAGCTTGGAGAAAATTCAGTTGATAAGAATTTCCCTGCAAACAAGAAAACCTGACTTTGGGTCCCCAGCATCCACACTAAAAAGCCAGAAACAGTGGTGTGCACTTGTAACCCTGGTGCCGTGGAGGCTGAGATAGGGTCCCTGGGGCGTGCAGGGCGTGCAGGCTAGCTGAGTACCTGAGCTTGATTAAGAAAGGCACCTTATATCAGCCTATGACCTAAACACACACACACACACACACACACACACACACACACACACACGCAAGGGAAGGGAGGGAGAGAAAAAGAAGGGTTGTGTACTAGCATCCCATCATTGTGGAGACAAGCTCCCTGTCCTCTGTGGAGGTAGGGCAACCTTCTTGGATACATGCCAGTTTCTGAATGTCGTGGGACTCTGGGTGGCCCTAGAGCTGGTGGTGGAAACTCACTGGAGTTGCAGTCTAGGCTAATGCTAGAGTGCTTCCCATAGCGTGTAGTCTCCCAAGTTTAACAGAAGTGAACTAATCCTTTCCTGCCTGCTGCTGACACACCCCTTGGTCTTAGGATAGCACCTGTTACACTGAGAGAATATTTTTATGATCTGTGACAAGAAAACCTCTGCTGACCTTCGGGCTATGTGAAGTTACAGGGAAGCAGTGCCCCTGAATTGGCCACTTAGATGGGTTAAATTCTGCAGTGACCAGAATGGCCAGTAAGAAAAGAGGAAGTGGGAAGAGTTGG